CTCTGGACTTCGGGGTGGATTTCGTGCGGATCTTTTCTTGTTGGCCAGGAATGACGACCAAACAAAAATCCACGCGAAACTCACGTCGTTTTTCGCTCGCCGCGTCGGGCAAAAATCCACGCAGAAATCCGCTGCAGCACGTCTGCAAGGCCGGTGCACTGACACGGGGGGCGGGCGCGTGCACCGACCGCGGGGCTCGGGGGGCGGGCCTGGCAGGGGCCGGTGGAGGCGCAGGCCAGGGCTTGTGATGTTCCAGCCTTTTTTTAGCCTTGAGCACCAGAAGGAATTTCGAGCACCAAGAGAACACCCCGCCAAAATCGAGGGTTCTCACGTGTCGAGCCCTGGGAGATACTCTTTCGACACTCTTTCTATACACCTCCACCGTGCCAGGCCAGGGCCATCCTGGGCCCCAGGATGGTGTATAGACCCTCCTGGCTTCGGCCAGGAGGGCGTATACACCATGCCAGCGCCAGGATGGCCCTGGCCTGGCACGGTGGTGGCGTATAGATGCCTTCTGCGTATCGAAATTATGTATGGGATGTGGTCCTTAAGTACGATAGGGGGCAGCATAAGCCTGGGTCCCGTCCCCCCCCCCCGAGCCTCCAGCGGGCGGCGAGCGAGGGGGGGGAAGGGAGCAGGGGCAGGCCTTCTCGGAAAGCTCGGAAGTCCCCCGGCCTCCTGAGGAGTTTCCCAGGCCTTCCTCTCGGGCCGGACGAAAGGGGGGGATTGGGAAAGGGGGGTTACGAAATTTGCTGCGCGCAGCTGGTTTCGGCCTCACCAAGGGGCCCATTCCTCGATACATGGCCGCCTCCGGCGCCGGGAGGCGCCGGGAAAATCAGCTACGTGAGCTGATTCCCCCCCCCCCCCTTTGCTATCCCCCCCCTTCGCCCGACCCGATCCTCAAAGACGTACAATGAAGATCATCAGAAGGTGCGAGGGCTTCTGGTACGTCCCACCGCCTTCTGAGATAGCCTTCTCCCTCTCACTTCCCCCCCTCGATCGCTCGCCGCCGATCTAGGGTCGCAGCCTCTTTCGCGCTCCCTCCGCTCCCTCCTCCTCCGACGTCTGTTTCACGCTGGGCCGCAGGCTCAGCGGCTCTCTGGCCCGCTTCCTCGAGGCGGACTGCCGTCCTGCGGCGCCCTCCCGCTTCTGCCGCCGCGCGCGGGCGCGGAGGGCGCAAGGCTCCGAGCGCGCGGGGAGAACAGGAGCAGGCGCGCAGGGATCCAGGCGCCCGGGAGAGCAGCGCAGGTCGAGTGCCGAGGGCGCTGTGGGCGTTCTGCTGCCGCTGTTGGCGCCGCTCGGACGCATGCGCGGTGGATCGGCGAGGCCAGCGCCGGAAGGTCTGGACCGGCCTGGGGCATCCTGGCCCAGCCAGATCTTTTGTTTGTTATCTTTGCTCTAAAAATCTCCCCTTGTTTACCAATACCTAAAAAAACGCCCCGGAGTGACCTTTGGTGCGGGCCCGTTGGGGTCCCCGATCGCCGAACGCGAGGCGGCAGTGGCGTCTTGCGCGCTTGTGTTTGGCCCCCCCCCCCGCGGCCCCCAAAAAGCCGCGCACCAAAGGTCACTCTTACCCAGGGTCACTCTGACGCGTAGCTGGAAAAAAGCGGCCCGGGGATCACGACCCCAGCTTCAGAGGAGAGGAGGAAAAGGTACTGACACCGCTGCTCTTTGCGCCTTGTCCCCTTTCTTCGGCATCCTGGGAGGCCCTCGTCGCCACCGCTGGATTCGCCTCGAGATGCTGGTCAGAACGCGCCCAGGGTTGGCGGCCCCGGGGGCGAAGACCCCGGGGTCGCCTTCTGGCCAGGGCGTGCGGGGCCCGAGCGGTAGTAGTCTTTAGATCCGACGTCTCTAACAAAAATCCCGGATAGCTCTCTGAGAGCTAAGAGGGTTTCACATAGAAGAGGGCAGCGCAGGGTGGCCCCGAAGCTCTTTCCTGCGCTGCTCAAGCGGCGTCGCAGCGCCTTGCTTGAAGTTGCAGCTTGTCCCGAGAGCGTTTCCCTACTCGTTCCCTATATGCGTGCCAGAAGTCTTTCCGCCGCTCCTTCGAAGCTCCTTGGAAGCTTCTGCGAAGCTCCTTGCTCGAGCTGGCAAGCTGCTCAGACATCCTTTCAAGCGTCCTTGCAAGCGTCCTCACGAGGCGTTTGACGCGCTTTCGACTGCCCCGCTATCTGGGTTTGGGACGCCACAAGTGGAACAGCGTGAGAAATCACGACCGAAGCCCAAGACCCCATCTTTCTGCGCCATGTCTCGAGCCGGATCGATCTGTGAGGGCCCCGTGGCACAAAACTGGACGGAAACGCCCAGCTCGAAAAGTGCTTGTTTTTATTATTTTTTTTGCCGATCGGCGCGGGCCCTCGCACCCCCCCCCATGGAGTAGATCTTGGCTGTGTTTGGCGCTTGTCTCAAGCAGGTGGAGTTTCATCCCATACGACGCACTGTTGGCAAACAGTCGCACTAAGCAGAGGCCCGGAGCCAGACCCCCCCTTGTTCCCCCCCCCTTCCGCCCAATGTCGATCGAGACGCCGAACCAGAGAACGCTCACAAAGTGTTTTGATCCGCGGGTCGACAGCGCACCTCTTCCGGTCGAAGCTAAGCGGGCCGCGCACAGCTTTAATTGACAGAGGGGGGAAGGCAGAAGGAGGGGCCTCACGTCAAGGCCAGGAG